CACCCCATCAGAGCCCATTAGCAGCCACTCTCCTCCCTTCTGCCTCCCAGCTCCAGGCCACTACTAATCTACTTTGTATAAGTAGGATGGCTTATGCAGTTCAGACTGATCCTACAGTCTGTCCTTTTTCAAGATTGTCTGGATGGTAGCATATGTCTGTACTATTTGACCACTTTATCACTGAAAACTCTGGTATTGAGTAAGCTGCATTATTTATGTGTTGATGCCTTTGCCTTCAGTTTTCACTGTTTGGCTTTCATGAATACTGCCATTATAAACATTCAGGCACAGGGGCTTGTTTGTACCTATTCCTTTTATTTTTGTAGATTATTTATATAGAAATAGAATTGATAGCTCATATAGTAACTATATTCTTTGGAGAAATCAGTTTTCTAAACCATAGGCAATTGTAGCCTTTTACATGGGTATTTTTTCTCTCACTTTTTTGTGTGGGGGTATGGAAGATGACAGGCTCCATGTTGCTTTGAATTTCTGATCCTCCTGCCGCCACCTCGTTATTAACATGCTAGGATTATGGGCATCCTGTATCATGACTGTTTCTCTTTTGTTTTTGAGACAAGGTCTCTACAGCTCTGGCTGTCCTGGAACTCAAGAGATCCACCTGCCTCTGCCTCCTGAGTGCTGGGATTAAAGGTGTGTGTCACCACTACCTGGCCATCATAACTATTTTCAAAATAATGTACATTTATTTTACTACTCAGGATTTGTGAGGAAAGCACTAAGTTGGATTTGGATAACTAGAAGCAGGTGATTGATTGACTGCCTCTCTGTCCTAGTGACACTTGCCTATATTCTTTGCACCTTTAGTGCTAAGCTCACAAATTGTTGAAAAATAAGCAAAGAAAATGCATTTAGTGAAGATTTTTCTCTTTTCCTGTTCTTAGGAAACCTGAGTGACTGAGGTAACTATGATGAACATTAATAGTGGAAAAGAAACCTCATTAGACTGACCTAAATCAGTCAACAGTAAGCAATCGGGAATTCACAGCTGGCTCCTACTTTAGTCTCTTGCCTTTCATCAACCCAGAGAAAAACCTCTGCAGTGGAATTAGAACTGACATTTGTCCACAGTTTACAGTGGGTGATTTTTGCTAACTTGACAGGAAGTCCAATTCCAATTGAATCTTGGTTGACTGTATGGTGATCTAGCTTATTTTTATCTTAGCTTCTAGTGCTCTGGCAGAGGCCTCGTTGGGCTGTTAGCCGCTCTGTCTGACACGTTTGCTTATATCAACTTTGATAAAAACAGATTTTGGATCTTTCTGCTTTAAAAAGTGTATGATAGCTGTATTGTCACGCTTTAGTTCAGTTATTGCATTACTGATTTTTCTTTTCTTCCAGTTGTCATTAAAATGGCCAGCCCCCTGTTCCCAGGGTTTACATGGTTGCTGGGGGTCCAAAGAAGGTCCTTGTGCAGAGCAAGCACCTTAGCTGCTAAGCTGCTCCTCAGCCCTTACTGGGATTTATTTTGTTCAGACAACCTGTTCTCAAAAACTTGTATAACCAAGGATGACCTTGAACACTTGTTCCTTCTGGCTCCCCCTGAGTATTTGGGATTACAAGTAAATCCCACCATGCCTGATTTTCTTCTTTAAGACAGGGTCTTGCTGTCTGGCCTAGAATAGCATTTTGGACTCAATTCTCATGCTTCTGCTTCCCAAGTGCTGGTACTATGGACCTCTTACCACAGCAGGTTTACAGTATGGCTGTCTTACTGCAAAGGTTCATTTGGCTGAACATTTTAGGTGTTTTTATAAAGAACGTTTCCTATTTCTTAGTTAAAATGGGATGAATGGTTTCTTTAGTTCTAAAGAGATCAAAATATGGCAATTAATGATGTTCCAGGCCTTAAGTCTCAGTTCATCACAGAAAATGTGAGTCCCAGGGCTGTTTACATACCTCAGGAGAGGCAGAGGTTTGGAATTAGTACCTAAGTCAGAAGTTCTTCCATAAAACTATTTAAGGCTGGCACACGACTTTATTCCCAGCATTCAGGAGGCAGGCGCAGGTTAATCTAGTCTACAGAGTTCCAGGACACCCAGGGATACCTAGAGAAACCTTGTCTTGAAAAAAAAACAAAAACAAGCAAAAAAAAACCCTCTAAAATTAAGCTTGTGTTTTATAACCCTGTGTCATTTTTGTATAAGAGGGCAGGGGTCAAATGAAACATTCAAAAACTAGAAAATCTTTTTAGACACTTCTGGGTTTTCTGTTATTTTGCCTTGATAGTGCTGTGTCATAATGCTGAGGTCATTGATAGTAACAAAGTTGAGTTGAAGGGAGTCCTGCTCTGGCAGAACACTGGCTCAGAGTGCGAGAGACCCCCTGGGTGCACTTCAGAGCACTATCCTAGACAACAGGAACAGTGGGGTGTGTTTGCTGTTGCCCTTAATTCCAGTGCTCAGGGAGGCAGAGGCAGGCCTGGTCTACAAGGCGAGTGCAGGACAACCAAAGCTACACAGAGAAACCCTGTCTCGAAAAACCAAAAAAAGAAAAACAGGAATTGAAATTTGAAATTTAATTTGGATGTCTATATACCATCTATCTAAATAAAATGAAAAAGTAAAAGTAGAGACTAATTTTCTGCTGACATTTTGTTTGATTGGTTGGTAGTTGGTCATTGTTTGATTGGGGTTGGAGAGGATTTCTCACTCTGCATCTCAGGTTGGCTTTGAACTTGAAATCCTCCTGTGTCTGCCTCCCAGGGGCTGAAGTTACAGGATGCCACTGAGTTCACCTCAAGTTTTGTGGTGTGTGTATGTGAGAGGGACAGAGTGAGGGGACAGCTTGCTTGTGGAGTTAGGACAACTTTGTGGAGTTGATTCTGTCTTTCCAGGTTGGTTCTGGGAATCCTGTGTAGTCACCAGGCACCTTCACTTGCTCAGCTGTCCTGCCTGCCCAAGTTTCAGTTTTGAGTTGTTTCGTTTCTTCTTGTTTTTATTGTGGTAAAATTCAGATAGTCACCATCACTGCTTTTAGTTTGCAGTCCATTGTGTACCATCACCACCACTTATCTCCAGAACTGTGTAAATAAACAAAGTATTCCCCTTCCTCCTTCCCCAAAGATGGAAGCCACCATTCTACGTAAGCATAATGCATTAGAGCTGGTCTGTAAATCACTCCATTCTCCTTCGTGTTCATACCATGTTGAGTGGGATGAAAGGGTTTGTGTGTCACTTTGAATTTTGTCAACCTTGGCAAAGCATTGGAGCTCACCATGTAGTGCTTGTGTTTGTTTTTTTAGGCTCTCACAGCATTACTTTCAGATGACAGCAAGTTTGGTTTTATTGTAATAGACGGCAGTGGTGCTCTTTTTGGCACACTCCAAGGAAACACCAGAGAAGTCCTGCACAAATTCACTGTGGATCTCCCAAAGAAACATGGTATATAGGAGGACTGCTTGAGTCCTTTTACTTGTGTCTTATAGTAGTCGCTATGTAAATAAGCATCAGTTTGTGTTAAACAGTTTGGACGTGTTGATTAGATTGACTGGTTACTTTGTTTTTACTTCATAAGGCATATTGTACGTTTTTAATAATTACACTTTTCCCACCACTTTTGTGTCAAAGGCAGAGGAGGTCAATCAGCCTTGCGTTTTGCCCGTTTAAGAATGGAAAAGCGACATAACTATGTTCGGAAAGTGGCAGAGACTGCTGTGCAGCTGTTTATTTCTGGAGACAAAGTGAATGTGGCTGGTCTGGTTTTAGCTGGATCAGCTGACTTTAAAACTGAACTAAGTCAATCTGACATGTTTGATCAGGTAAGAGATAAGAAACTGTCATTACAGGACTTTTATGTGGGGACATTCATCCTTGACATTATGCATGTATGTGTCTTTCTAGCCATAAATTCCCTAGGTTAAAAAAGACTCAGCTGATGTGGTTGCTTGAGCCTTTAATCCCAGTACTTGGGGAGGCAGAGGCAGGCATATCTCTGTGAGTTCAAGGCCAGCCTGGTCTACAAAGCAAGTCCAAGGCAGCCAGAGCTACACAGAGGTACTCTTCTTGGGAGAAAAAAAAATTAAAAAGTTTCTGTGGCTAGAAAGGATGCGTGATTAAGGGTGCATACTACTACTCATGCAGAGGACCTAAAATTTGGTCCCAGCAACCACATTGGACATCAGATGGCTCACAAATATCTATGTAACTCCAGCTAAGGAAATCCAATAACAAAATATTTTTTTTAAGAGAGTAGGTATTTAAGGTTCTAATGTTTTTATTTCTGTTTGTGTCAGAGGTTGCAATCAAAGGTTTTAAAATTAGTTGATATATCCTATGGTGGTGAAAATGGATTCAACCAAGCTATTGAATTGTCTACTGAAGTTCTCTCCAATGTGAAGTTCATTCAAGAGAAGAAATTAATAGGTATCAGTGAAATGTTCCTATTTTGTTTATTCTGTGAAATGTTTTTGGTGGGTATGTGTGAAATAAGACACTGAGGAGGTTTTAAAAAAAAGGGTTGGGCATTTATACTTTAATCCCCACACTAGGATGGCTGAGGTTGGATCAAGAGTTCAGGGTCATCCTTGGCTGCAGCTGTTAGGCCAGCCTGGGTTATATAAGACTCTTGTCCCAAACAAAATTAAAATTAAAGGAAAATTAAGTATTTTTACTAAAAAAAAAAAAAAAAAAAATCAGCTGGTCACATATGCCTCAGGAACTCCAGCACTCAGGAAGCTGAGGTAGTTGTACTGCCACAGTATAGCTGTATATAATCCAGCCGGCCTGGTTTTCAGGGTAAGACTCTGGGTTGAGAATAAGGGGCTGCTGGGGCAGTGGCTCAGTTGATAGTGTTTGCCCTGGACTCAGTCCACAGCACCAGTATCATATACTATAATCCCAGAATTCTGGGTGGTTGGAGACAGGAAGATCAGAAGTTCAAGGTCATCCTTAACTACATAGAAAGTGGGAAGTCAGCCTGGGCTGCAAAAGACCCTGACTCAAAAACAAAAGCTTGTGTGGCATATTTATTCTTCCTAGGGCCATGAACCCAGATAAAGATTCAAACAGGAGGCATATAGTCTTCTCCCTGGGTTTTATGGATAATTCCTTTACTCTGCTGTGTTAGCCTTTCTAAAGTACAGCACCAACCTTAAAAGGGGCAGGAAAGGGCAACCCAGGAGGACCTAGATTATTCAACAAAAGATGATGTGTCCATATGACCTGGGTCTTCCTTTAAGGCAGGGCATATGGGCCAGAGGCAGCATGCAGCTAGACGCTAGGAGCAGGCTCTGGCAGGTAGGCTGCCAAGCCTGGGACTGGAAGTGGAATCCTCTCTTTAATATTAGTGATCAGCACTGGTAGAATTGATATAAAAATCAGCTGTGCAAGGCCCTTATAGAAAGGGTATGTGGTGTTTGCATATACACTCTGCATACTATCCCATGTACTTGAAATTATCAATCAATTATTGGTAATACCTAGCACATTGTAAATATTCTATAAATAATTGTATGCTATAATTTAGATCACAATGACAAGTAAAGGTCTGTGTATATCCAACCATCACAGGCCTAGCTACATAATACACTTTGACATGCTGTGCTTATTTTTCTAAATGTTTGCTCCATGCTTGGTTGAGGTCATAGATATCTAGAGCTACCATGTATTTTATTGTTATATCTAATCCACAGGGCGATATTTTGATGAAATTAGCCAGGACACAGGCAAGTACTGTTTTGGAGTTGAAGATACGCTAAAGGCTTTGGAAATGGGAGCTGTAGAGATTCTAATAGTCTATGAAAATCTGGATATAATGAGATACGTTCTTCATTGCCAAGGCACAGAAGGTAAAAAAAAAAGAAAGAAAGAAAGAAAGAAAGAAAGAAAGAAAGAAAAGGAAAAAATAGTGTTGCTGTCTGTTACATTTCCCTTGTTCAGAAATCCTTAGTTTCACGCACAGTTGTAAGGATATTATAACTGCATAGGGTACTGTCTCATTGCCATCCCTACCTCCCACCCCACTCATTAACTGTGAATGACTGTTCACAGTTCAATTTGCCAAGTTAAATTTCACAGGTAATTTTGCTTTCGTTGAGGCTATATCCTGAATGTCTTTGTTTCTTTATAGGAGCTGGGTACCAGGTACTGTGTGCTAAGATATTTATGGGAAGGTTTGGTAGAGTTAGTCAAGGAATCCTTATCTAATTTCTCCTACAGAGTTAATATCTATCAGTATTTTGAGAACCTGGTTAACACTTTTTTTTTTTAACTTTTAATACTACAGAGGAAAAAATTCTGTATTTAACTCCAGAACAAGAGAAGGATAAATCTCACTTCACAGACAAAGAGGTATGCCATTTTTTGTTTGTTCCATGATAACATACAAAAAGCCTGAATGTTAAAGCATTCTAACATATAGTATCAGCCTTAGAAAACAAAACCTTATTATAGATAAACAGCCATGGAACGGAGCAGTGTCTCGCTGCCACCCTGGTTGGATATGAGGAGGGAGTCATAGTTATTATGGAGTTATTTTTTTTAAAGTAGTCCAGTAAGCTGAATATGGTGGTATACAGCTTCAGTCCTAGCACTCAGAAGGCAGGCACTCTGGGCTCAAGGCCAGCCAGGACCCCATCTCAAAAATAAAAGAAATCAGGAAAACATTGTTATCCTTGAAATAAAAGAGATTTAATTTGACTAGCACTGTCCTTGCCTTGTAAGATCTTGTTGCGTTATTAGCTTTTTGTGGCAGAAGCAGGGATGGAGGTGGGGGTCTGAGGCAGGTTTCTCTTTGTAGTCTTGGCTGGCCTGTAACTCATTTTGTCAACTAGGCAGGCCTTGAACTCAGAGATCTACCTGCCTCTTCCTTCTGAGTACTAGGATTAAAGGCGTGCACCACCACCACCACCTAGCTGCTTGTGTATGTCGGTGGCAGCATTTTATCAGCTTTTTCTCTGCACCTAACTAGGTTTTCAGTTGTGTTACGAAGAACTGGGATATGTTTAGTTTTGTGCATTTATATTACTTAAAATGGGTAGGAGAATAATGGGTATTGATAAGCAGGGGCATTGAGAGGGGTTTGTAAAACTTTGTATCCTGATCCCATTGTTTCTGTGTTGTGACTGCTCTGCAGACTGGACAGGAACATGAACTGATTGAGAGCATGCCCCTCTTGGAATGGTTTGCTAACAACTATAAAAAATTTGGAGCTACACTAGAAATTGTCACAGATAAGTCACAAGAAGGATCACAGTTTGTGAAAGGATTTGGTGGAATTGGAGGTGAGTAGCACACTCAAACCAAGGTCCCCTGCCAGGGTCTCTTCTCAGCCTGGAATGATTTACGTCCAATAACGTATGCTCTGTTTACTTGGAGGAGGTGGTTGGAACAACAGGTCTGAGTTGCACATTCCTTAGTTTGGACCAATTTTAATGATTTTTATTAGCATGTAGTCGTGTGTGATAATGAACCACATGATTTTTTTTCTTTCTTTCTTAATTATTTTGCTTTTGTTGAGATAGTGTTGCACTGTGTAGCTCTGGCTATCCTAGAAAACTTGCTTTGTAGACCAGGCTGGTCTCGAACTCATATAGATCCTCCTGCCTCTGCCTCCCAAGTGCTGAGATTGAAGGCATGTGCATATATACATGCATGCATATACTGTATTTCAGTCATATTTAATCTCTGGGGTTTTATTGTTTACTTTGTATGTATTTAGTAGGCACAAGAATACCATGGTGTACATACGGAGGTCAGAAGACAGCTTGTAGGAGTTGGCTCTCTATTTCCACCTTGTGGGTTCTGGGAATCAGCTTGTTCAGCAAATGTCTTTACCTTCAGAACCATCATAGTAGGCCTGTGTTTTGTTTGAGTGTGTTGTTTTGTGCCTACAAAGAAACATTCAGGTGTCAAAAGGTAGCTAGGAGTCTATTTTCTTCCCATCATATGGGTTCCAGAAATGGAACTCAGGTCAAGAACTTTTATTCACTGAGTCCTCTTTCTCATCCCTTTGTGGTTTTTTGGGGGGTATAGGAAGGCTGTCCTGGGATTCAGCTGTGCCACCCAAACTGGCCTCCAACTCTAAGCCAGCCTATATTTGTGAGCCGCCATGCCTGGGGTAGTTTTGTAATTCTGGAATGGGGTGGGCTTCTCCTGTAAGAGCAACTCCTTCTTCCTGCTTAGGAACCCATGGCACTTAATCTGCTTTGTTTCTCCAGGTATCTTGCGGTACCGAGTAGATTTCCAGGGAATGGAATACCAAGGAGGAGACGATGAATTTTTTGACCTTGATGACTACTAGGTAGTCGACATGGGTCCGGCAAAATGTGCCTCACCCTCCAGCATTCAACCCAAGGAGCATACCCGTGGTGGAATCCAAACAGATCCCTGCCTTACAATTGGAACATTTCCAGAACTTAATCCGTGAGCATTGGATACTGAAAAGAAAAGCGAAACAAAACCAGACCCAACCCTACACTTTGGTTTGTCATGGTGTCAGCGCAGCAGCCTACAACTAAGTTCCTAAATGCCACTTTGGACTAATTTAAAAAAGAATCCCAGTTTTTACTTTTACTTGATGGTAAAATTGGTTGCTCTTGTATTTTATGAAAAAAAAAATGATTTTTTTAACCTTCATACATAGAAGCAAAATACTTTAACTGCTGTAAACCTTCAAAAGTTAGTAGAAGTGAGATCATACTGGTTTGTTTCTTATTTTGATCGGAGAATAACTAAATTGCTGCATTTAGCAGTGACCCATTTACATGGCATCCTCAGCTTAGACTGCACAAGAAGAAATATATGTGGTGAAATATTGGAACTGTTTCTCTCTTGGTCTCTGTTTAATGTTGAAAGGGTGAGTTAATAGGCAATTTCAGCTTCACTCCCTCACACTCCCCCCGCCCTCCCAGACTGTTTCAAAGGTGCAGGTTGCATTGCAAAGTCAGACTGAGTGCTAAAATATTGGGGCCATTGTTCTCTTGACTTCCATCAATCTGGAGGCACATTTGTGCCCAGCGTTTGGGAGCCCTTTGTGTCACTAGCATTACTGTGAGGCTCCCTGTAATCTCAACCTACTTGAAACCAGTCTGGGACGGATGCGGTGGGGCTTCTGTGCTATTGCTGGGATTGGGAGAAATAAAACATGCAATTTAAGTGGAACCAAAAAAAAAATTCAAAGATGATTTGCTTGGATCTATTCTTGGTAAAGGGAGGTGGTCGTGTTTCCTTGTGTTGGATGGCATGAGATTATGTGAATGTTTTGATTTTTTTCAAATGAACTGCAAGATTTTTCACAGGAACGACAGACATGTATGACCGTGCATGTATCTCAAACCCCTGGTGGGGCTGGAGCATCTGTTTCAAAAGTGGGACTTCTAAGCACCTCTCAGATGAGAAAGTGTGGGAGGAGGGTGGGAAAGGAAAGGGTGGGGAGGGATGGGACAGAGCTTCTGGCACCATGGACTATGAACCATGTTAGATCCAAAAGTTGGCCTGAAAACCTGACACTTACACTTCACAACTGGGGCTGTAAGTTGGATTTGAACCCAGCTGAAGTGCAAGGTCATGGTGTGCTCGAGGTGGTGACAGTGATTAAGTGTGTAGGATGTGCCCAGTAGTAGCAATGGGAAAAAGTATACCGAGTGGACTTTGAAGGACCAAAGGTTTTTAAAGTCAACTGGTATCACCCACACACTTACCAGGGTGGTGGGGTGCATTGGGTTTCAAATTGGGTACTTTTAACACTTTAGTGCCTGACTGCTGTTCTTCACTGACTTGACTCAGTCACTTGTAGCTTTATTGGTCTGAACCAGCTCCTTGTTCCCAGGTTACAGACCTGCCTATCGTTCCAATAATCCTGTTTCACTTGAATGAAGGGAGTATGTCTTAAATGTAAAGCTTCTGGTTCTCACGCTGTACTCTGAGGTCCAAATGACTGTCTGTCGCGTAACCTGATGTCTCAACCCCCAGTGAGAAGAGTCAATTCTTTGGTGTTCACCAACGGGGGAGGCTTCACCAGAACAGGCTTTTGCTTTGGGCTCTGCTGTTTGTTTGCAGAGCGCCAAGAGCAAGCGAACACACTCTTCCCAGCAGTACCTTAGGGTTTTGCCATTGTAAATGGGTCTAATGTGATATGACAAGACCAGAGAGATTGGATGTAAAT